GAAATCAAATCAGACATAGGATCGCGCGCTTTCTTGGTTGTTTCGATGCCTTTTGACCATCCGAAGCAGCAAGGCTACATGCGAGCAAAGTACGTGTCGGTCGAGCATGTGCGAGAAGATAACGGTGAGGTCGTCTGGATGTGAGTGTCCGGAGCGGAGCACTTGCCCTCGCTTCAGTGTCGTTTTTGTGTTCTGCGGCTCAGCACGCCCGTCTGACCTCCAACACGTGCGTGCGTACTTGCAGAATGGCAACGGCATCCGACGCAGGTGGTCTAGTCCCGAGACCCGTCTCTGACCTTGCCATGTGAGTGCGAGTGCAGCCGGCGACTCTGGAATCTGCATGCCCGATGTAAGGCGTTGATTCCTTTTTGCACTCGCAGGCCAAGCAAGATAGCGGAGGATGTACCAGGTTTCTTACGATGGCTTGGCTCGCAGCTAAAATGAAAGTGAACGAGCAGCGTGGCAAATCGTGCTGCCAGCGATCAGCTTGGACGGTTTGTAGATATCTGTATAGATTGTTGTACATTGTCCACGTCTAGGCTACTCAGCGACAACTTTCACATCCACAAATTGTGTCTTAGCCGGAGTCTTCAGTTGAATCTCCACTGTAGCAAGACCCGTCAGCGTTTGGCAAACAATCATCGAATAGATGGTATAACGTACAGATGTAGTCGCCAACGCGCTTGATCCTGCCTTTCTCTACCCCTGCTGATTCGACAAAGCTGCATTGGGATTCTTCGAGGCGAAGCCCGAATTCCCTTACTTCCGCGAGCACATCTTGCACCGATACGGAACCAAACAATTCGTCTGATGCATGACTTCGTCTCTTGAATGCCAGTGGTTGAGGCAACAAAGCCAGCGCTGCCAGAGTGGCTTCTTCCGACGATGGTTGCGGTTTCTGTCGAGAGGCTCGGTCAGCGTCCGAGCTCTTACGTTTGCGTCGCCTACATCAGACGTCTGCCTCACTTCGTTTGAAATTGAATCGAGAATATCTCTGGCTGTGACGACCTTCGCACTGGTCAAGCGTCTTGCCGCCTGTTGCTCCTCGCGCTCCAGCATGGATCGCAATGGGCTCACTGCCTTGCCATTGGCAACATACAAGCCTAGACCACTCGGAATCAAAGAATTGCGTGCGCGTCCTGGAGCGACGATGACGATGTCGCCTAGTCGGGGGAAAATGAGCCTCGTCCTGGAAGTCGACATATAGGCCTTGTGGTGTCGCTCACCTTGTCTACCAAGAGATGGCACATTTTCAAGCAGCTGGACCTCGACCATCTTGTGTGCCAAGCGCTGTGGATCGCGCGCAAGCGGAGTCAGTGTGAGTAACTCGGATCGCGGCGTAGTGTGTACGCTGTCTGACTTGCACGTTGCTCATGCTGGCACACGCGACATGTCGATGTAGCTCTCCTGAGAACAGTTCGAGACGAAGTTGCGAGATGCATCATGGTGTGAAGGGAGAGTGGCTAGATCTGAGCGCTCAAACGGAGGCGCATCAGCTGATTGATATTGCGTATTGACAATCAAATCACGAGCAGTCAGCACAGTCATGCAGTTACAGTAGCGCAAAGCATGTCTCCATATTTTTTTTTCGTTCGTTCTTCTGTTTGTCAAACCATCACAGACAATTTTGTGTCAGACGCGAAGAGCCTTGGTCTCACGTCGCGATCGCTCAGCTCTCCTCGTTCGTTCCTAGTTGACGGAGGTGTGGTTGATTACCTCAACGTATTCTGGATTAACCATCGGTCGCGACAATTCAACAACGGACACTAATGTCAAATGCAGTCATGTCAACACAAGGCTCTGATTGCTGCGCCTTCCGAATCCGACCAGCCTTTGTCTCGCTTTGAAGCTTCGAGACGGGACGGATATCTTGTTGAGGTTCCAAACGCCTGGTCCTCACCCTGGCTTTTCTTCATTCACACTCTGCACCACGCGACCAGCACACGACCGTTGCTCGACTGTCTACTCGACCGACCTACAGAGGGCAACAATATCCAGCTAGCAGTTGACCTGCAGCCAGTCACTCGTTTCATTGTTTCTCTCCTTGACGTCGTCGCGCTTCGTTTCAGCTGTTTCATTTCGGATTCGCTTTCGCACCATTGCATCGGGGCTTACTACCATACCCAAGTGAACACCATGATGCGCTGTGGATGGATTATCGCTGCATTGGCTCCAATCGTTTTGGTTTCTGCTCAGAGATCGGCCTTGAAAGCGCCAGAGGCTGTCGTCGACGGCGAGGAACTCTGGCGAAGGTGGAGTCCAAGCGGCCGGTCGATTGACCTTCGCACTGATGTCAGTCTTGCGCTGGGCATGTGTTGCCATGCCAGTTTGTCTGACCTTGGTTTCGAAACAGCTCTTGAATTGCGGTGTAATGGGCCGTCGGTGTCAAGACGTCTACATCAATGGAGGTCATGGCATGTGCTTGGACGGCGCGTGCGCCACTCAGTGTCACGAGGGCTTTTCGTGGGATCCTGTAGCAGAATACTGTGTGAGTGACGTTGAGACTCACGTTATAACACAAGCTACTCTGCTGAAGCGACGAACCCTGCAGAGACCCACCTCGCGCGACACGCAGAATTGTGGTGCAATTGGGACGGTCTGTGCGCTCGAAGGCGCGGCGCGCAACTTGTGTGCACGCGGTCAATGCTTCGCCAGTGCTTGCAAAAGAGGGTACGAGCTCAAGAGTGGCGTCTGTTTCAAAATCGATACGACCTCGAACGGTAAGTTCGTCGAACGGCGCGCGTGGCCAATGGCGGAACTGACGTCGGCTCGGCAGTGAATCACTGTGGCAGCTTGTTCAAGCCTTGCTCGTTCTATCCCGCTGGAGCAGCAGGATGTACGTCCTCTGTCTTGTCCCCAAGAATACACACTGATGGCAAAGTCTGTTTCGCAGCCTGCATCGATTCGGAATGCGTGCTCGAAACCTGTCCAGCCAAATTCAGCTTGAAGAACGGAGCATGCGTCGCCGATCCAGTCAAACAACGTGCTCGTGTGGCCAAAACAAAGCATGTCAAGCAAACACTGTGTCCCAAAGGCGAGACAGCCTGTCCAATCGCCGACTCGGCCTCGTTCGAGCACGCTGCCGTGCACCATTTCAATTCGCCCAACGACGAATACTCTGGCGTCATGGCTGGTGACGGTGGATACGAGTGTCTCGACGTCCAGTCGTCCCTTGAGTCGTGTGGAGGCTGCTCAAGCACGGGCGAAGGTCAAGACTGCTCTCGAATTCCTCACGTCGGTGGCGTCGGCTGTGAAGCTGGCATTTGCAAAGTTTGTGAGTCCGACCTCACCTCATGAAACTGTCAGGAAGTTGATATTGACATACATTCCGCTGCAGTCTCGTGTAGCAGCGGATGGAAGCCAAACCTGACTGGCACCGGATGCATCCGCGAAGGTCGCCGTCGCAAGCATCACCACCCCAACTCTCGTTAGGTCATTAGACTCCATATACCCGTACTGCTACGATCCCCACTAGCATCTCCTGTCGCATGATCGTTTCTCTCTCGCATTGCAATTTGACGAGCCCGAATGACGCTACAAGCATGATCGATTTCCTTTCACTCTTCTAGTTCAGTCATTGGCGAGCGTACTTTGGTTGCAAGGGCTTGCATGAGTTTCTAAGAATCGCGAACAGACTCAGCCGACGAGTCTCCGAGCCGATCCTGTCATCGAAGAACAGCTTGCCGTCGATTGCAGCAAGAATCTCTATTCGACCAGGTAAGGAAACGGGAGGAAAAGCGTGCGCCTACTACATTGTAAATCCCTCGAAGACCTTCAGAAAGGTGTCTCGCATTCAATATGCCGGCCTGGTTCCGTCGTCGCTTGAACTGCAGAATTACATTGGCTGAGTCTGAAGTTGGAATCCTCTGATCCAAAAGAATCTCGATTGCTTGAGTAGCTTCTCATCGTGAACAATCGGTGCATTCATCCTCAATCGATACGCAAGTGAATCAGTGTAGTTCTCCACCTAGACATGTTCAGAATACTCGAGAGCCCTGTCACATCAAAGTTGAATATTTTACAGCTACTGGGCAGTCTCAAATAATATTCTCATCGCTCGAACCCGATGCAATTAAGCGACGAAACTTGACTTTCGTGACCAACACTCGACTTCGATTCATAAATATTGCATATTGACGGCTGAAAGCTCGGGCAGGTCTTTTTTGAGTGTATCGAAGACTCTTTGGCCGGACGAAAACTTCGTGCAAGCTCGTCGGGCACAACAAAGTAGGATTCTCATCTCAGGAAAGTGCGAGTCAGCTAATCCGTGCGTTTCTTCTTCGGTGCCTCCTTTTTTCCACCACAGCGTTCTCAGGCCGTTTGTCTTGTTGCGTAAATCCAACAGCCCAGTCGCTTGAATTGACAAGCAACTTGGTGCAAACTCGTTCCTGGACGGTCCGAACGTTTTCGCTTTAGCGGGTCCATTCTTTTTTGATCTGCGAGCTGTTTCGTTGCATTGGGGTCCAAGTTTCTCACAGAACTGACATCTTCCATCACACTTGAGCCTACTTGGCGCTCCTTCTTGCCGTCTCTGACAATCCCCAAGGTCTTTTAGTGGGTAGGCAGCAGAGTTTAATTCGATTCAAAAATCGAAATATTTCCTCTGACTGCTAGTCCCACACTGTTGGTTAACGGCGACCTTCGTGCGTAAAGCTTTTTATCTCCTTTCTTCTGGTTGATCAATTGCTTGCTTAAGTAGTGGCACTACAATGAAGCAACTCGTAGATTAAAAAAAAGGGTCAATCCAGCACCACGGACAGGAGTCTCGTTAAGAGTATCGGTAGCGAAAACAGCATTGGACGCCTGCGGCTGTGAAATCCGACTTGCTCAAGGCTCGAAAAGACGAAGAAGTGATTCTGCCTCCACTTGTGTCCCTCCTGCAGTGCCCTGCTTGTCCTTGAAGCCACATCGAGGGTCACGGTCAAGTCACGTGATTGCTGCGGAATTTTGCTGCGCCAAAATATGACACATAGGCATTCCTTTGTCTCGGTTTTTGTCTTGCCGCGGTAGTGTAGTGGTTAACATGCGTCGTTCGGGTGTTTTTGACGCTCTTGAATTCGACGAGGTCCCGGGTTCAAATCCCGGCTGCGGCCTCGGGTTTTTTTGTTGCCACTGATCGAGCTCGTCGGTGCCCCAGGCTTCGCTCCCGCAAATTTCCAATGACAAGGCAGGCAGGCAGTCACGTAAGCCCCGAGCCCCAATCTTTTCAATCGACCTATAGCCTGCCTCTGGTCACTTTTGCCTGTCATCGGCTTCTGACTTTGTGGATTGTTGAGCCGGACGTTGAACAATGTCGTTACCGGTCCTTCGACCATCCAGCCTCGCATGCCATCAAGCGCCGTCGCACGTCCTTCGAGGTGGAGGTCTACAATAAAAGGGGGAAGCACCTTGACAAGCCGAACTATTGGTCCAACAGCGAGTCGCAGGGGAAACCGGCCGAGAAACGGAATCATCAGCACCGTCAACGAGTTTCGCCTAGAGCTGCTGCCGTGAACGCATAGAACGCAGATCCACCCGTGATTTCAGTCACGACTTTCGATATAAGGCAAACGTCCTTGACAGCATTCCGGCTCACGAGCTCGACAGGAAGACGCTACCTGAGTAACATGTGCCATCACTCGCCTGTCAGCGTCAGTCTCGCCGGATGTCGTCGTAAACTTTCAAAGTCATCCTGTGGCGACTCTCCGTCCATCTCGATCCTAGCTACGAGCGGGGCTCTAGTCTCAAGTACTGGGCTCGATTGAAATGATGCGGGTCTTGCTGTGCTCGTAAATATGCACATGTTGATGACAATGCGATCGCCAGCGGTAGTTGCTGTGCTGCCAGTCACGAGCTTGCGAGCAAGGGTCGCGTGCAGCACCATCGGGAATCTTCTTGCGACCCTAAACAAGATTCACGCCTGCAAACAATCACATTGTCCTTTTGAGTAGTTAGGGCGCAAGCTCGAAGTGAAATACGTGACACTGATACTCGTGGTGAACCGTCTTGGTAGTATACGCTTCTGCAGTGGCAAAGATCTGTTCCATTGTTCCAACATCATGACTATGTGATCACCTTTGTCAATCTCTGCACCTCGATACGTTACCCTCCATTCCGAGCCACAAGCTCGCCTTGCATGTAAGCAAACCAAGCGTCGGGATGCTGGCTCCAATCGATCCATGCCTGCGCCAGGTGCTCGAGTTCTGCCCGCGTGGTAAGTCCTTTTTCTTGAGCCGTCCGGGCGAATTCGCTCTCAACGACACGCTCTGCCCACATTTCGCCCCACCAGCGACATTCGTCAGCCGTAGTAAAGCTGCTCGTGCTCACTGTGACGTGTATATCGTCATCTGCAAAGCCTGCTGCATGAGCCCAGGCTCGTAATCTTTTGCCTGCGTTGGGTTCGCCACCGCTCGAGCGAGCCACGTCTTTGTAGAGGTCCAACCACTTGGTGAGACCAGGCAGCTCGGGATAGAACATGAACGAGTCAAAAATTGCCTCCCGAGCGGCGACGACGCCTCCCAATTTCAGGACCCGTTTCATTTCCTTGACAGCATTCACTTGGTCCTATGCGCAGAAAGACGCAAGAGATAGTGAGTTTGACGCACTTGAAGGGGTACAAATGCAATGATGATCGCACGAGAACGCACAGAAATGTGCTGCAACACTTGGTGCACATGCACGACGTCAAACGAACCCGCGTCAAATGGCAGACGATGTACATCTGCCTCCTCAAATTTAACGTTGCTCAGCCTCTCGTCTTGCGCCAGATGCCGAGCTTGTTCTAGCACAGTCGACGCTCCTGGTGGCTCGATGCCGACGACTTTGGCATCGCCACCCACGAATTTGGGAAAGCCGATCGTGATCGTACCTGGTCCACAGCCACCTAACATGACACGAATGGTCAGCAGAGAGAGGCAGTCATGTTCAGATGCCACGCTGAATACCGACTCGTGAGCACGTGACGATGACGAGCTGGGCTCACAGTCGAGAACGTCCATGCCTGGCCGCAAGTGAGGCAGCAGGTAGCCGGCTGAATTCTCGACTGTTCTTGCCGAGTGGGATTTGAGCACCGAAGGGTGGTGGCCATGTATGTAGTGCGCCTGGCTCGCAGAAAGAGCGTCAGCTGCAATGCTGGGCTTGACGGGTAAAGGATACTTCACTGCTTGAGAGCTGGATGACGGCGACATGGTACAATGACAGTTTAGTGTCCAGCCGCGATGACACTTTGAAGAGAGCTATGTGACAAACAAGTCCGAAACGCGGATCAACTATCGACCCCATGTCGCTGTACGCGGGTATTCGCCTACAAAAAGGCGCACAACCGGCCTCTACCCAGGGAAAAGAAGAACCAATCAGTCTAGCACCCTCGATAAGCAATGCTGTCAGCGACAACGCGGCAGCAGTTCCATCTACCGCAGCAACTGCCGACACGACCACCAACACGGTCGCAGAAGGTGACAAGGGCAAAGGTCAGATGTTTCGACACGCTCGATGGACATTTATTGGCGTGTTCTAATGCCGTTGACGTCGTGCAGCCTCATGGTCGGCAGCACTTCGATTTGCGCCAACGATTCGCAAGAAGCCCGCAGGGCAGGCGAGCAGAGCAGTGCCATCTGCATTCTCGAGAGCGTTTGCAAGTGCAGAAGATGCGACTGTCAATGCTGTCAAGACGCCCAGGATCGTCGGCAACGCAAAACCATCGTTAGCAACACCAGCGCCAGCCTCGTCTGCAACTGGTCCATCACCGCAGGGTACCTCTCTGATCTCACAGAAAAAGGAGTCGACAAACAGCTCGGCTCCGTTACCTGTGACAACCGTCATTAAACCAGTCCCTTCGAGCGCCCCTCACGCTGCGGCCACGGGCTCAAAACCGCGACGAGTCATTGCGAAGCCCCCTCCGATGACACTCGATGACGACGAAGTCACCGGTCCTAAGCATGTCACTCAACAGCAACGTAACGAGCTGCGCAAGAACAAAAAGAGAAGCAAACGAAAGGAAGATCCGGCTTTGCAATTTGGCGACGTCAATTACGATCCTTCACGGCCCTGCGACTACGTACGTACGACCTTTACCGCACTCGCTGCGTGAAGGTCTAACTCGACGAGGTCGCACTCTTGACACCGCTCAAGAGGCTGAGCCACCGTGCGATTCGCGAGACTGGCACGAGTCCTGACCTCCGCATGCTTCAGTCTGCCTTCAAGGCGTATTTGCAGGCCCTGCGGACTCAGCGGAGGATTGAACGAGAAGAGCGACGGCGACGAGAGCGCTCTTACTCAGAGTCTGACTCCGAGTCAGGTTCGGACCAGCAAAGCGACGCGGATGCACGCAGTGAGCTCGAAGTCTCGATCACTCCCGCTGTTCCGTTCGGTCCTGATGCTTCCCATCGCAGTGCTCAAGAAGGCAAGACTGTTTGCACCACCTGCGTCTTACGAGGATCCCTCGCCGAAAGCGGCTCATGAACCTTCGGAGCAGCCAGCGAATCCAGGTCTGGCGCCCCGGGCCGAGACAGGCGAGGAAGCTTACCAACGACGTCTCGCAATGTCAGCAAGGCCACCTCAGCCTCAGACCCAGCCCTCAACTGCAGTGGCACCAGCACCGTCATTTGCCCCAACCACGCACCACTCGACCACGCTGTCGGCTAGCGCACCCTCTTTCGCACCACAGTCTGGATACTCTGGAACTGGAACAAGTTTTGCCAATCAACCGAGGGCACCGCCGGCCTTTTTTGCGCCACCTGGCAGCGAAGACTTTCCACCGTTTGACGCAGTGCCTTCCCGCGCTTCGCCGTCTTTGCCTGCCCAGGTTGGTACAACATCGACCCTATCTTCTTTGAGCGATGCGCAAGCGAAAGCAAAAGAGATTGCCGCACGATTGGGTAAACTCAGCGGTGGCTTCCCGCCGCCACCTCAGCCAACGCCTCCGGCGCCAGTCGAGCAACCTTCCATGCCGAATTCTGCGCCATCAGAGTCAGTCAATTGCATGTTGGGTCCCTCTTCCGACCTATAGCTGACCATCGCTGACACAGACCCGATAACCGCTCGTTCGCTGATCGCATGATGGCCAAGTTTGGTTGGGAGGAAGGCAAAGGTCTCGGCGCCAACGAGGCTGGCATGACATCGGCACTGGCAGTCTCTCGAGCAGGTCAAGCTTCGGCAGCAAGCAAAAAAAACCAAAAGGGCAAGAACGCTGTCGAATCAGGCACTCAGGTACCAACTGGCATGGGAGCCAGTCGGGCTACGATCATCGACTCGACTCGAGAAGCTCGTCTTGCGAATCAGAAAGCGGAGTACGGTGAACCAAGTCGCGTCGTGCTATTAACGAATTTATGCGGATTGGATGAGGTCGATGACGAACTCGGCAACGAGGTTGCAGACGAGGCGAGCAAGTTTGGCGTTGTCGAACGATGTATGGTGTGGCCTGTACCAGGTGAAACGCGAGACGACCAAGCTGTACGAGTGTTCTTGGTCATGAGCGGGCGAGTCTTCCCTTCACATGTCTGCATGTCGAGGCGTTCGACTGATGTTGGTTTTCGAACGGCCACAGTCTCGCCGGTGGCTACAACGCCGTCAAACAATTTGATGGACGATTCTTTGGTGGCCGGACCGTCAAAGCCAGGTGAGATCTCCTCCTGTCAACGTCAGTTGCTCTAGCGCGAGGACTGACGCTGACTCTCACCATCGCTTGATAGGTTCTACGACGAAAAGGCGTTCCAGCGCGGAGAGCGGATGCTGTAGCTTGTCACATTGTAGCGATTCTGCATGCATATTGTCAAATGTTGCTGCAATGACCACAGGGCCCTTCCTGGGTTGGTCTATACACAACACCACATGAGACATTGTCGGCCGGCCCGGGTTGCGCACGATGCTCTCGTTGCGCTTTGACTTCCAGCGGCCGCGCAGCTCGTCCTGTCGTTTGCCCACTCGCATCGCTCGACCCGTATTATCTAGACGGTCTTGCCGTTGCTGATACGTTCGTTCTCATTTGCGCTTGCAAGGGTGGGCGACCGCGCAACGGATCCGAAGATTACCCTGGCTTGATCTGGCTCGGCTCGTTGACAGAGCGCAACTCGTCTACCGTGGGTCAATTTTGGCAAGTGTGGAAGCTCAGTCGACG